ATTAAAGCCAATACATTTAAATTGCTCCTTAAGATATGTAGAATCAATACGCATAAAATATATTTAAAAATAAAATATTTGTTTCGTTCATCTATGCCATATTCATAACATATCAACAAAATCAGGCTTTCGTGTTTTTTTATATTCTGTATTCGAAATTGCCAATTTTATTATCGCATCTGGTAGTCGCGCCCAATTACGAGATGATCTTGGTGATCTTGGTAGGTCTTAGTGGATGTTTTGAAAAGAAGTCACGTGCACCTTCATATTTCCTCATGCGGATCAGTCACCGAAAATAATTATTTTAGCCCCTTACCTTTTTGCAAGTATACAAATATTGCGGTGTTAGATTTCTGTCGGGGTAGCACATTTTCAGTCAGTCGGTGTCATGCGGAACTGTACCTGCAGTGCGCGAGAAGTTCGTGTCTGGTTTGCCTGTGCCTCAAATACATTAAAACATTACAATTCTGTGAGTTTTATAAAGTGAAATATCACATTGAAAGTATGCGAAACAACCCGATAACTTCTGTTACGTCTGGGGAAGATTTACATCCAAAATTCAAAGTAAAAAAATATATGAAATTACAAAACTTGCGTATTCCATATACTTTAAATGCCGTGTTTTGATCAGGGCAAACCATGGGTTGTTCATCAATGTTGTGTCACCTGCAAAGTGAACCCTAGGTTCTGGTTGGCTTAACGGATAATGCTAGCTGTAAAACCGCACTTCTAAAGGATGAATAATTTAAAATGGTGTGTTTTAAAATTAACTCCAAGTACTGCTAATGTGATATTATACTCGAATACTAATGTTGGGCACGGCAAAGACTATGACTTTTAAAATACACCATATACTAGAGATCTAAAAACAAAAATTACTCACTTCTCAAAGTAAATTTGAACGAATTAACAAATGATTAATGAAAAATCATGTTTATTGAAATAACTAGGAAATCAAACTCACTGTCAAACGTCGTTGTAGTTGTTTTTTGAAAATTGTCGTAATTTGAAAACCCGCCTAAACCGCACATGTTTCGATGCATTTTCGCGAAATCACTTTGTGTCCCGTGTGTGTGTACGTGTGTGAGAGAGAGAGAGAGGGAGAGAGAGAGGGAGAGAGAGAGGGAGAGAGAGGGAGAGAGAGGGAGAGAGAGGGAGAGAGAGGGAGAGAGGGAGAGAGAGGAAGAGAGAGGGAGGGAGAGAGAGGGAAAGAGGGAGGGAGAGAGAGGGAGAGAGGGAGAGAGAGGGGGAGAGAGGGGGAGAGAGTGAGAGAGTGTGTGTGTGTGTGTGTGAGAGAGAGAAAGAGAAGTTTTCCATCCCCAAAAAGCGGAATTACGTCTATTCTGGCAACCTTGCTTCTGGAGGGGAAAATGTGAATACTACTTGAAGAGTTTTTTTCGAAGTGGATTTTTTCAATTTTTTTCGATGTGGATAAAACGTTGTACGATATTCGTGTCGTAATATCTGATTACAATACGCAATTAGTTACCAAACTTGGGCTAACGGCCTCGTTTGACAATTTTACAATCTCGTATTGTAATCAGTTATTTACGACTCTTCTATCGTAAATTACCATTATACTTTTCCTTTACATATCATTCAATTTCAGATAAGGTATCGGCAAGAAAATAAATATCATTCTTTCTATCATTCCTAATTAAACAAGATAACTCTCAAATGTCTTTCCTGTTTTAGTTTTCTATTTCCTTTGGTTTTGTCTAGTTAAACGAACTTGTCACATACTCTAGCCAACCGCAATCTACCGCTGCTGAAAAAAAGTTTTTAAAAAAAATTCTTAATTTTTTGGTTTCCTAATAGTAGAACGGAAATATTATTTTAAAAACATTACAGATCAGTGAAACCTCGCCCTAAATGGCAATTTTATTTGAAAAATTAGGAGCTGTTTTTAAGAAAAAGCTTTTGAAGTGGTTCAGTAAATTCAAAATTTTAAGCTCTTTTTCACAGAAAGCTTCTGAGTTTTCGAGAACTTCATTTGAAGTCATTTAAGTACTTTAACTCACATCTAAATGGCGTTTATGTCATCTTATAAAGTACATTTAGGACTATCTCTACTAAAAGTTTAAAAAAAAATTTGGAGCAGTTTTGAGAAAATCATGTTTATGTAATTTTTTTAAAAATCGCACATATTGCTCGCAACGTTGCGCAAAGTCTACTAAAAGAACACACTATGGAGAATATATTGCATTTGAAGGAAAAATCTGTCTTTAATTTTGTAGTTGTAGGAAGACACCGAAAAATATTCATACTTTTGCAAATTTCGAAAATTCAGAGTTAACCGTGGAAATCGGACTTATGACTCTTCTATAAGTGTATGCTACTCTTTTCGTAATAGAAATTTAAAGAAAAAAATGGAGCCGTTTCTGAGAAAATTTAGAAAATGTTCGGAGGGCTTCTTGTAAAGTACACTCAAATTTTGAAGAATGTTTTTTTTCTTCAAAGTTTTGACTCGAGCCAGTTGAACAGGGTTTTCTTCAATTTGGAAAAAATCCTACGCATTGTTTAGGTGCTAGTAGTGTTCAGACTGCAGACTGGCGGGCAGTCAGAGGGACAGACGGACGTTTGTGAAAAACAGTTTTTTTCGGAATCAGGGGTCTCCAAAACGTGTATTTCCGTTAAAAGTTTTAAACCAATTTCCCACAGCATTATATAACTTTCCCTGTACTATGTACCTTACTCCTAATACACGTGCGTATACCGGAAAGTAAAAACTGTCTCTCGCCACCTGAGAAGCGTGGGCAGTCTTTCAGACCATTGTACTCAGTGTTAATGCATCAAAATATATACCATCAGCTATTTTGCAGACTCAATATTAACTCTCAGAGCCATTGAGAACACACAGATTCTAAACCAATTTAATTATTCAAAAAATTCAGATTTTAGAAAAGTAAACAGGATCCATAAAGAAATAATATGGATCCCCTCTCACAATAAAATCATTTGGTATTGAGAACGCTGATGCAGCTGGAAAACTGGCCACAACATTTACATGCTCCGACAACAAAATTTAAGGCACTCTTCAGGACTTCAAAAAGCTTCCAAAGGACTCCTGCTCCAAATATTGGGACTCTAACTGGAAGTTAAAGGCTGGTCTCCAAACTCCAACTAGTCAGTCACCCTTGACCCAGCTCTCCAATCAAAACACTCCAAGAGAATAGATCAGGTTGTCATTACAAGACTCTAGGATAGGTTCGAACTTAATTTATCCCAATTATTCCAGAGGTCGGATCCAGAACACTGACCAAAGGGTGGTGCAACAATCTCCACTTCTCATTTCATTCTTGCATGTCTTGCTACAGATAATGTAAGGAAGCTTCTGAAAATGGAAGAAAGTTTTTAATTATTGTTTAAATTTAAGAAAGCCTTAAATTATTTTTGTTAAAACTGCAATTACTACGTTTCTTTGTACTGTTGTATAATAACAGGGGTTGTTGATGGTTGATGATCTAGTTGTGAAAAACCAAGCTCAAATAAATTTTAAAAAATAACCTTGTAAGGAAGTAGAAATGAACATAAGAGCTGATGAAGGTCCAAAAAGGGTCGAAATGTCGTCAAATAACCAACAAATAACGTAGAATTTCTTTCTTTCTACGACTGACCTAAGTTCAAGAGAAAAAAAACAGTATTCACTATGTTTTACTCTTCACTGATACTATTTAAGTCTTATTACAAATCTACTGCTAGGGGACTAACAAATTGTTAATTAAAAAAAGTAAAACAATGTCGATTTGGTGACGATAGGTAGCAGCTGTGAAGACGGTAGGGCAAGCTAGCCGAGATTAAAGATATAAGGAATGTAACTATTGCGTGAACGTTTGTGCCATTCTGTGGAATCATTAGCTTATTAATGTTACAAATAATTATTTTACATAACTGTTAGAGCCAGTCGGCTTCGTGACACTACAGATCCTGGACGGGTGGCCGACTGGATAGCGCGGCCAACCCCTGGCCGAGAGGAAAAAAGGCATAAACTGACTACGACAAACGACAAAGAGGATTACTCCGATGTATATGCGCTCAATGCCCAAAAAGGGCTAAGAGAAGTGTTGCGAACAAGAAACAAAACGCCAGGCATTGAAGGTCCTCCGTCTGCAGCGTGTGAGCAGTGGGCTTTCGCCCCGATGAAGCGGATGTTAGCTTTTAACTTTCTCGCCCTAACAAAGGTACTGCGTACGCATAGAAAGTGATGTAATCGTGCGCTGGAACACGGACATTTTTATTTTGATAAAAACAATGGTTGCATAACTATCAAAAGTTGAGCGCTTTCAGTTTAACTATAAATTGATCCCCAAACGTTTTTGGAATAGCAAGGCATAGCCTCGCCCAATTCATTTCATTCACCAAGGCCTTTGCTCGTCTACCTCGGCGAAGTGTGCGCGGTGGGTGATGGTGTAACGGTTAGCGTATCGGACTGGTATAACTAAGTTGACTGGTATACCCTATCGAAGCCGTGGATTTTGAAGAGCGAAAAAATTCTTCGTACGCCTTCCTTCGGAGGGAAAGTAAAGCCGGCTGTCCCATGTTAGTAGATTTAATTGCATGTAAAAGATCCTCAAGCCTAATGACGCCTCTGAGCTAAATTCAAAATCGCCTGTTTCCCGCCCAAAAAATACCTCCTTCCTCTGCTAGTTGGAGCGTAGTGAAATTTGCGTGGTCAGATGGAAGAACAGGCCCGAGTCTCGCCACGTACAATAAGACATCAATTCGATTCAACTGTCATCGTCCACGATGACTCGCGTGTCTTCCTGGTGCACTCCGTGCCGACTCGACCATTCCCGAGGTGCTTCGATGTGCACGGTCCCTTCACCCCCCGCCCACTGCACGAGATACACGTACACACACAATCAGCGTATGCGACTACATGCGGGATAGAGGTCATGCGGTTATGAGTGGCGACGGCAATGGCAGCAGTTATTTCAAAATGCATATTCCAGCAACCAAGTGGAGTGAAGCAGTGAAATGCTTAGGTTGGCACCACTCACCTCGCTTGGAGCGGCGCAGCGGCAGCGAGAAAGGCTCGGGGGCGGCCTCCGCGTCCCGCTCTCCTTCCTGCTCCTCCCCCGCCCCTGCGCGCGCGCACACAGCATTCATTTATTTTTATTTACTTTAATTAATTAATTACTTAATGTAATTCATTTAATGCCAATAACAGTTAAAAACTATGTGACATTGTGGGATGGTTTATCCTGGCCTATGTTAGGACCATCACAAAAGTAAATATAATTTCGACGGGGTCAAGAGATCTGGGAACATCACGACATGAAAGAGAACAAAAGAAGTTCAGTATGAACGCGAGCAACAAGATATAAGTAAAATGCCCAAATAGGAAGTGACTGGCGTTATTACGTGAAGAATAATGCGTGTAAGGTTTTATTGAGCCACGTGAGTACTTTTCGTGCTTAGGAAAGAACAATATAAAATAGATCTAGTGGTTCTACATTATGGCATACTCTTTCCCGTATTAGTTTTCTATTTCCTTTTGTCTGGACTTGCCACATACTCTTGCCAGCTGCCATGTATCGCAGCCCAAACTAAATTTTTTTTGAAATTTTCTTAATGTTTCGACTTTCTAATAGTAGAACGGAAATATTATTTTAAGAATATTAAAGAAGAGTAAAACCTCGTACTAAATGGCAATTTTCTTTTATATATTTGAAGCCGTCTTTAAGAAAATGGCTTTTAAACGCTACTGTATATTCGCAATTTGAACCTCTTTTCACAGAAAACTATTGAGATTTCGAAGAAACCACATTTTAGTAATTTGATGCACTTTAAATTTCACATACAATTGTGTTTACAAATTGCTGGAAATGTGCGTGGCAAATTGCTGGTGTGAAAGATCTTTCAAAAAGTTCATATTTGTGTAATTTTTAAAAAAAACTAAAAATATTCTAAATTTAACATTACATGTCACGAGCGCAATTAACACTAACCAGTCGCAAACTTTGAAGAAAAAATATAGAGTAATTTATAAGAAAATAGCATTTGAGCGTTTTTGAAAATGCGAAATTTTAGCTCATTTTAACAGAAAACTGTTGAGTTTTCGGAAAACTTTATCTAACATTATTATTATTATTATTATTATTATCATCATTATTATTATTACTATTATTATAGTAGTAGAACCGATTTATTATTCTAAGAATATTAAAGAACCTTCATTAGAAGTAATTTACAAAGCACTTCAATATATAAATACAATAGTGTTTACAAATTTCTGGAATTATGTATATGGACAGCGTAAGAAATCTTCCAAAAACATTACATTTGTGTAATTAAAAAACAAAGAGATACTCAAAAATAAACTTTATGTCATATTACAGAGTACCTTGTTGAGAAAATAGCGTTTGAGCATTTCTGAAAATGCAGAAATTTGGGCTAGTTTTACTCTAAACGTTCGAGTTTTCAAGAAACATTATACGACATTATTTAAAGCACATGTACTCATAATTACATTACTGTAAAAAAATTCCCGCAAATGTGAATATTACCTACGTGAAAGAAAAGTGAAAAAAATATTTTTTGTAATTTTTGGAAAAACAAATAATGCAATATGGCGTTTATGACATCTCATAGAGTGCATTTAGCACAATTCCTACCAAAAGTTTAAAGAAATAATTTGGAACCGTTTTCGAGAAAATATTTTATTGATTTTTTTTAAATTGCACATATTTCGAACAATACACAATATATACTAGCGCGAACTTTATTAAAATAGAAAAAAAACTCTAACTTTAATTTTGTTCTTGTAGGAAGACGCAGGGAATAATTCAAAGTTTAAAAAGTTCGAAAATTCAGAGTTAACCGTGAAAATCAGCATTTGCCACCTTAATAAGTGTATTTTACTCTATTCGTACAAGAAATTTGAAGAATAAGTTTGGAGCCGTTTTTGAAAAAAGTTTGAAGATGCCCGGGGGGCTTCATGTAAAGTACCCTTAAATTTTAGAGAACGTTTTTCGAAATCTCAAAGCTTCGGCTCGAGCCAAATGGCAGGGGGTTTCTTCAATCTGGAAAATCGAACGCATGGTTTAGGTGCTAGTGTTGTTCACAGACGCGCAACCTGACAGACAGGCGGACATAAAAAAAAACACTATTTCGGTATCAGGGGATCCCAAAAGGGGGATTTCTGTTGAAAAATTGAAATCGATTTTCGCTATACTACGTGTATTACTTCCTATATACGTACGCATACGGGGAAGTAAAAATTGGAAAATTTCATGGGCATCATCTAATAAAGTAAGTCCAAAATTCAAAGCATTATTTTCAAATCTGCAATGGTTTGAATCAAGCTAGATCGATCTTGGTACATAATCATAAACGTCTTATAATAATCAGTGGCCCACAAATCGAGATTTTCAGTCGAAAAATGGCAGTTTTTGACGCATAACAAAACTTTCCCTGAACTATGAGTAATATACGTGGAAGAGAAATAATATACCAAGAAATACAATCAATAGAAGAAATATTATGTAACCAGTACAAATAATTGAGTACTACGTACTACTTAAGAAGAGAAAGTCATGTAAACGTGCGTCGGAAATGGGAAATTTTTTAAAGAAAAACTTATTGCAGATCTGTGATAACGAAAAATTAGATACATTCTGTTCCTACTTTGTGTAAATTACTTCTTCTAAGATGTTATGCCATGTGAATCTACGTTGAGTAGCTCCTTGATACCGAAAAATCAATAGACGGCAAAACGCTTTTGTCTCTGTCTGTCGGTCCATTACCTGCCTGTAGTCAACGCTAGCGTCTAAACCGATGATTTCCCCCAAAATTTATATTTCTACATCGAGCTGAACGAACTGAAGACCCTACGAGTCAAAAACGGATTAATTTTTGGTAATAGACTACATGAAGCTTCAACATTTTCAAACTTTTCTCAAAATTGGCACCAAATTTATTGATTGAACTTTGTGCTCAGATAGCGTGAGGGCGCTTAAAACAATGGCACGTGTCTCATTAGCATTGAACTTTGAGTTTTCGAAAACAGTAAAAGTTAGTAATAACGTGAAAGCATTTGCTGTTGTAGCACCCCTAGTTCATATTTGATGTGATGTCCATCCGAAAAGCCATGAATTGGCGAACTCACCGTCGCCGCAGTCGCCCTCGGGGCACACCCACTGCCCCCCCAGGCAGTAGCAGCTGCCCCCGCAGCCCGCCTTGAGGTTGGCCTTCCGGTGCCCCGACACGCACTCACTGCTCGCCGCCGCCTCTGCCGACACACAGGCACACGGTGGAAGCGCTGGAGGGCCAACTGCCACGGAACAACTGCAACTTCTTGTAGACCTAGCTCAGCGCTGTGAACCACTAGATGCCTGCCACTAGACCTAGATGCAGATCTGTATCTAGGGAGCAGGGAATCTTCTTGCGTATTTTTTGGGGGGACAAGATGGCAGGTAACGTGAGCAGCTGATGTGTCATTTCGTTGTAATCAACTCTTACGTTTCGAAAAATGGGTGGAATTTTGTTACAATATGTGATAGTCCCAAAGATTCTTTTAAACTTTAACAAGTAACTTTGTATTTCGTTTCCAAGTGTGAAGATATTCTATCTTATTCAAACAATATTATGATATCTAACCAACCGACACATTCATTTCCTACGAAATACCAATTAGAAATACATTAGAGATTGTCCAAGAGTTAATTTACATAATTAAATAATATATAAAAAGGCAAATATTCATTGTAAACATGGGTTTCTCATTGTATATTACTGTACTTGCTTATGAAACGAATATAATACGACAGTTCAGATATTCTACTCGCTATTTTTAATCAATAGAGAAATAGTAATATCCGATTTATTTTCCCTTCTACTTACTACGTCTGGCAGCAATCTACAAATTTAAGATATTCTCCTCTATTTGTTCACGAAAACAAGCATATTTACTTCTTCATTTTTTGCCTCGTATTTTATAAATACGAATACCCTTCATATGACATAGAATATTGCACCGTCTTAGAAAATTTATTTCAGAGCCGTGATGGCTGAAGGCCCCTCTTCTACAGGAAACGGAAAGTTTATCATCAATCATTGAGCTCATGCACGCAATTTCCCCCTTTTTATCCCCAATTTGAAGAAAATGCAAAAATCGGTTCTTTGACATTTGTTGCTGCCAAATGTCGGGGCCATTTATTTACTAATGGCGAAGTCTTCTATCTCAGCGCCACCTTTCTTAAACGACATAACATGGAAAACACATACATAAACCCCTTTCTAAAATCAAAATATTTACAATATATTCACACTTTATGTTTATTTCAAAAACGAATTCACACCAATGCGCATTACTTTACCAATGGCCATTGTATGCTGGCTTTGAATTTGTTCCCCCCAAGAATAAATACACGTCTCGGCCTTCTAACGCGCAAATGTTGAATCCGAAAAAAGAAATTAAAGTCTAAAGTAACAGCTTTCCTTTCGCTGTCTTCAACCACTCACTGCAATCCCATTAATCTGCTCCATTCCGATCCATAGATACAAGTTTTTTGTTCGTTCCATATTGTGCAGCATTTCCTTCGTGAGTTTATCAACTCCAGCGGGAGAAAATAAACAAATGTTCCTCGCTCGCGCTCCTTCAGTTGTTTATGCGACATTGATGCCCTCTGTCCACTATATTTAAATGAAGTGCCACTATATTTACACGTCCCTGTGGCCTGTCACAGCAAATAAATATCGTTTAATAATAAATTATTACAAAGATTGCAGAATTAACGTGTAAATAACTAAATATTGACGCCGGTCTATATTGCCTCCTGACAAAATATTGTCTCCTGACATCATAATCGCTTGATTGTGTCCCTGCCCTCATCGATCAGAACAACAGTAAACGTTCATAATCACTGAATCCAAAGCACGCATTGCGAGAACTGAAAAAGGATGGCTCTAGGCATCTCTCCTTCCTTCACACGGGCTTGTGAAGGTCAGTGCTATCACAAAAAAACAGTTTCTGCACGAGTGACGTGGGAAACACGAAGCTCGGACGTTGGCGGCTGAGAAAGCGAATGGACGAGCAGAGCAAGTGTCTCGTGGTACGATGTCGCCACATTTACAAATCAAT